CTACCCTGGGGGTGTTTAAGACGAGGCTAGACTAACACCTTGCTGGGGTTGTTTGACCCCAGTACTCTTTCCTGCCATGGCAGGGGGTCAGACTTGATGATCTGCTCAGGTCCCTTCTGACCCTACTAACTATGAAACTATGAAAAAAATCCATTAACCCATTTTCACTCTATTAATATGCAGCCTCTGATTGTGGGTACATCCATGCTGCAACTGGAGATGTGACCATGTCATATGTAAGCAAACCCAAGCTAACTTTACTCCCTCTAGATCAGGCTGGGCGGGGGGGCAAAGTATGACCCAGGGGCCGAATCCAACCTACCAGGCCATTCTATCCAGCCCACAGGGCCCCTAAAATTTTAGAAAATTTAATATTTATTTGCTTCTGACTGCCTATCAAAGATGACAGGAACCAAGGGCAGTAGGACCCAGCAAGGCCCACCCAGCCCTGCTCCCCCAACCAGAAGCCCCTGCCTAGCAGAGGCTTCTGGCCTGGGACCATATGGCTGTTCCTGCTTCCCTGCACCGGAGAGGGAAATGTGACCCCTCAACAGCTTGCCAAAACTTGGTAAGTGGCCCTCTGCCCAAAATAATTACCCACCCCTGCTCTACATCAAGTATCAACAGCAGTAAATCCACAGTGGCACAGACTTTATGACCCTGGCAGAAATAAATACAATAATGTGATTAGGAATTTTATGTTCCTGAAACATTTTATGCCCCATCCAAAAAACACATCTTGCTATGCCATATATTCATGGAAAGATGCCCCATTTCTGGGATGGGACGAAAAAAATCCTCAGATCTCAATCACAGCATTGCAGGGGTTGGCACTCTCCAACCCAATCCCAGGGATCGGGCAGGGGAAGGCTATTTCCCAAACCCTGGGGCTGGCCTGGGCTGATGCTGATAATCCACTGATAAATGCCATCTGCTGAGACCACCCCAGGTCTGGAAATAGATGCCACATGTTCAGTTTAAGGCACCATACAAACCAGTCACTGGGGCTGATTGTCCACAATGACCTGAAACTGCCCTAGGACATGGTTCAAGACCCAGGGCTATCCCAGGCTGGTGCAGACAATCAGCTGATTTTAAGCATCCGTTGAGACAGCTCTGGGTCTGAAGACGCAAGCCACATGTTCAGTTTAAAGTGCGATGATGTAAAACATCTTTGTGGCTGGTTTGCCATTTTATGGTGCCGTAAATTGGCTGAAGGTGTAGCATGTTACAGTTCGTGACATGGTTGACATATAATGTTTGCCAGGGCCTTAGCACAGGCTCTCTATTCCCTACTGTGCTCATTATGCTGTTCTGAAGTCTGTGCTGGCATGTTACCTTTGATCTTGATACCTGAGTTATCTTGCTAGATTAAAACTAGCTCAAGTATGCCTTTGTGTGCTGCAATCACCTCTGACTACACCATAGACATACCTGATGAGAACTTGTGGTTGCACCACAGAGGACCCTATAGTAGAGGTAGCCATTAGTCTTGCCTAAACAAAGTAAAGCATTCAGCAAAGTTTTATCCAATAACCACTGAAAGTGTAAGTCACTATTGTGTGGGGAGTCCAACATGCTGCTGCACAAACTTCTTCTATCCTCTTCCTACTCAGCCTTGGGAAAGGAACAATGTATAGTGCTAATGTACTGCTCACATCCTCTTTGGTTGTCACTTGAAACTGCGTTAATAGGTTGACAAGGCCTGAGCACAGCTTGCTATTTGGTGGCAGAGGAAGAGCAGAACCCAACATTTTTGATCCTAGCATTAGGAGGGGAGCAAAAATAATCCTTAAAGATGCCTACTAAAATGCAAACGAATTTAAAAAATCAGAGAGGAAATGGGGGAGTTTGTTTTGTTTTACTTCGACATCAGAATGCTAGTGTCATTTTTAATTTTTTTTTTTATTTTCTTTTGCAGACTGCCCATTTCGCTCTCTGTTCAAACATCTAACTTTGTTTCTCTGAGTAGTCTGGGTTCCTCCATGAACTTACCAAATGTATCAAGAAATGGCATTACTCACTGGGAACACAGACCCCGAGCTCACCTCGTACTCCTACAACAATTTGGAAAACC